AATATAATATAATATATATCTATATATATATTTAAGTGTGTGTAAGGAACGGGTGTCACAAAGGCGACTAGCTATGCCTTTGCCCGGGGGACGTGGGGCTCTCTCTCTCTCTTTCTCTCTCCAGCATTAAATTAATGGGAGAGAAATAGGCATCAGGCAGCCAGGGTGGGAGGGGATATTTATTGTTGTGTAAATGAGGAAGCATTAATGAATGAGCAGGGCTGGGAATGGGACACTTCTCTGTTCTTCCAGATCCTCATTATTATTAATAATAATATTATTATTATTAATTGTTAAATGCTATTTATATTGTAACGCTTCCCTCTGTCTAGTGCTGTAGAAACAGCTGTAGGGCGCCTCCTGTCTCACCTGCCGCTCTCCAGGCAGGGCTATGATGGCAGTACCGGAGGAGGCGGCTACCGTATGGCAGGGGGAGGGTCTGTCACTCACACTGGAGGACGGGGGCTAAGCCCCTCTCCCATCCTACCCCACCCCAGGCACTTCTCCTCTTTGTTGAGGGTGAGGCTCTCTTTTTCTTGTGGTGCATCAGAGCCAGTTCCCAGTCTCAGGAGGGCTCTGAAGGGAGGAGGCGGCAAGCAAAGCCTCCTCGCCCCTGTGCAACCGGAGGGCAGCGCCCGTGCCATGGAGAGCAAGTCCATCCGTGCCAGCAAAGCCACCTGGCAAATGCGACTTGCCCTCTGCCCACGCAGGTGCTGACGAGCAAAAGCAACACCCCCATGTTCTCCCTCGTGCTGTGGTGGGCGAGCAGCTCTGTACAGGGGCCAATGAATTCTCTTGCCGAGCTCCCAAAAGGGAGGGAGAAGGTGAAGCCCCCGCCACAGACCAGCGCAGGGAGGTCAAGGCAGGCCTTGGCAGGGCTTCCCTGCTCTGACTGTGGCTGGGGAGTTGTACGTTGCGCCACTTCTTGGTCCTGGTCTCCAACAGCCCTTGCTGCTGCCAGCCACCCCCATGGCGCTGAGAGCAGGAGAGCCTGAGGGCACCGCTACCTGCCGTGCAGCAGCACGCTGCCCCGTTCCACGTGGCCAGGCCGTGCACCAGGGCACGTGCTTCAGGCACAGCTCCAGCATCCAGCAGCATGCTAGCTGGCCAGGCCAGCAGCCCTCCAGTGAGTCCCAGCCGTCTCCCCAGCCCCTCCGCTCAGGTGTTACAGGAACCGGAAGGTGAGCGTGCGCACACACTACAGGAGACTGTCCAGGGTGCTCGCAGCTGAGACGGTTGCTGTTTGCCCCCAAGCCCCATCCCAGGCCGGAAACAGGGGTTGTCTACAGACGTACTGGCTTCAGAAGCCTTATGGCGCAAACAGACCCCGAGGCAGTTATTCCAGGGCAGTCTGTAGGGAAGCCAAGCGCCTGGCAGCCAGGAGCCTGCAGCTTGGATCTTTTTTAATTTTGTCCTTTTATTTTTATTTTTTTGTTGACGTTTCAGCCTCCCTCCCCACCCCCCAGCCCCGTCCCAAGCACCTGCAGCCCCAGGGAACCCCGGTAATTTGTTTCCACCCTAAACAGATCAAGGCCTCAAGCAGTTTGGGTTGTTTCTTCCTTATTTCCCCAAGGAGCAGGCAGGCGCGTTGGCCGAGCTGTTCTGCCGCAGGGACGAGGCATTTGGAGAACGGTTGTAAAGGAAAGACAGAAAAAAAATGACAAAAAAAGCAGTTGTACAGTATTTTCCTGTAAAAGTTATTACTCGATAGAGAACAAAGAGAACCAGCCAGTGCCAGAGGGACGGGGTCGCCTGCCTCCTGGCCAGCCCGTAGATCCTAGGTATGGTTACTTGTGTGCAATTTTTTTTTTCTCTTTTTATTTTTTTTTTTTCTTTGTTTAAGTGTTTGTTTGGCGGGAGCGGCAGGGAAGGGAGGGACCGCGGTCCTGGGGTCGGAGGCTGTGTCGCGCTCCCAGCACTGACCGGAGCTGCACGATTCCGCATTTGAACTTGAATTTTATAGAGACTAAACAAACAGAACAACGACGAGCTGACGGCCGCTCGTAGCCACGTGTAGTTCAGTGTCGTACCCGGGGGGGGTTTTTCTCTCGCTCAGTTAGTTGTGTGGCTTTTATTTTTAGAGGGTTTTCTTTTGGTTTGCTTTCCATTATTTTGTTTTGTTACTTCTGTCCCGTCCTCCCCCGCTCTCCTGCCACTCGCTCGTGGTGGAGAACCATCCTCTCCTTTCATTCCCCACCCGTTAAAGGTGATGATGCTTACCTCCCCCACGGGTGCAGTGAGGGCATCCAGGCTGGGGGGTTCTGGAGCTGAGGCCAGACAGACTGTGCTTCTGGCATTTTGTTGTGGGTTTTCTGTCTGTGCATTTCCCCAGTGCTTGGCTGCTCTGGCGACAGGCGCTACAGGAAACCTTGCAGACCTAGCACAAGGCCTAGTCTTAGAAGCCTACATGCTTAGCTGGCACTGTTTAAATCAGTGGGAGTTTTTCTCTTGGCTTCAGCGGGAACATTGACTTCAGTGGGACTACTTGCAACTTTATACTCGAGCCCATCTGGGTTTCATGATCAGACCCATGGGGTCACCCCACTGGAAAGAGTAAGATACCTGCAGGGAATCTCCCTTCAACTGGTAGCTGCTACATAGGATAGATATGGCCAAGCCTTGCTTGAAATCGGCTTCAAGACTCCCTACTTGCTGCTGTAAATCAGCTAGGAGCCGCACCCCTCCTGCCAGCCTCTAGTGACTGTGAATCTGGCAAGGTGGCAGGAGAAAGCAGATCTGTGGGAAAAGGGGATAAGAGAAAAAACACTCCACCGTCTCCATCCGCCAACTCCAGACACGACACTGCTGCTTGAGCTGGGTTTACTACATAATTCATCCCTCTCTCCTCAGTCCCCCATCCTCACCACCTATCCACACATCTCACCTCTCCCACCACCCCTATGCGTTTCCTGTACTCAGGAGCTGGCACTGGGAAAGGACTCCTTTCCTGACAGGCTGCTACCAGAATCACTCCCCGCAGCAAGGGCCTGATTCTGCAAAGAGGGAAGTACCCTTGAATGCCCCAAGGAAGCTGAGCCGCTCCAGCCAAGCTCTCCTTTGGGCCCAGTGCCCATCCCTGCCCAAGGTGCTGTTTGTTGAGTCTTCCCCCGGTTGTTTCTTTAGACCTTTTATATCTTTATTTAAAACTGAAAAATGGACATGGGTGAAAAACAGCAGCCCAGCCCAAGGCTCTTGTTTTTAGTTTCTGCCACACAACATGCCTGCCTCAGCACCTCTCTTAAGTACATGCTCAAGCTGCATTGATTTCAGTGAGACTGCAAAAATGTGCGCGTTGCTAAGCTTGTGCTTAAGGGGTGGCTGAAGATGCATGGATTTAAGCGCATACTTAAGTGTGTTACTGAACTGAAGTCACGCCCAACGCACAGGTCCCCAACTCATCAAGAAGTTCCTCACTTTTAGCACTCGCGCCAATGGGGCAGCTTGTATGATTGAGTTTAGACATACTTAAAAGTAGCTTGCTAAATTGAGGACCAGAGAGAGAGAGAGACAACTGGCTGGCTTAGGAGGGGGCAAGAGGAGAGAAGAGACTGAATGATTGTTCAAAGCAAAATAAAGCAAACAAAAGAAACCCTGAGAAGGACCCTCCCGAATCTGCTACCATTCGCTGCTGAAGAGCAAAAAATAAAAGAGATTGACTAGACCATTCTAGCCACAAACTCAACTGGATTAAAGTCTGTGTGGAAGGAATTTTGTAAAGAAAAAAAAAAAAGAAACATTTTTTTCAATGTAGCAAACTAAAAAAAGCAAACTAAAAAAAAAACCACAAAAAAAAATCACAAAAAAACAAGATGAAAAAAAAAAGAGAGGGAGAATTCTAGCCTTTTGTAATATCCATATTGCACACTAGGACTATAAGCCATTGCTAGCTCATTTTGAATTTTAAATGTGTAATTTTTTTTGTTTTGTTGTTTTATTTTTTTTCTTTCTGTTGGGGGGGAAATAAATGCTTGAACCACCAATGCTCTTTTTAATGTTTTATAAATATGTATGTGTATATATATAAATATAAAAATAATATGTATGCACATATATATGTGTGTGTGTATATATCTATATGTATATACATATATATATAGATATATAGATATATATATAGGTTTTGAGAGAAAAAAAATGCAGAAAGTGAAAAAAAAACACCCTAACCAGGATGGTGTGCTCTGATTTACTTGAATCTGGTCTCTTCGGCACCTGCGTTATTAAGAACTGAATATTTTTCCACTTGAATTTAGTGCTATTAGAAATTTAATATATGTGTTTTATTTATTTGATTTTTTTTTGCATGACTGATGCAAGGTTTGACATTTTCACTCAATAAAAACTGGAAAAAAAAACCAAACAAACCAACAATGGCATTGCCTTTTAATTGTTTGTTTGAATTTGGGTTAATTTGTCACCACCCAAGAAGCTGTGGTCTGTTCAGCCTGTCTTACCGTTGACCCCCTTGTTCAGACACCCCCTTGGTCCTATACACAGAAAGAGATTTTGGAGTCATTGTTGACTCCAGGATGAACATGGGCCGCCAATGCGAGGACGCGGTCAGTAAGGCTAACCACACCTTGTCATTAAGGCTAAGCACACCTTGTCACGCATCCACAGATGCATCATGAGCAGGTCCAAAGAGGTGATCCTCTCCCTCTATGCGACTCTGGTCAGGCTGCAGTTGGAGTACTGCGTCCAGTTCTGGGCGCCGCACTTCAAAAGGGATGTGGACAACATGTAGAGGGGTCCAGAGGAGGGCCACCCACATGATCCGGGGGCAGCAGGGCAGGTCCTATGAGGAGAGGTTACGGGACCTCAACCTGTTCAGCTTCCACAAGAGCAGGCTGAGGGGGGACCTGGTGACCGTTTACAAACTCACCAGGGGGGACCAGCGAGAATTGGGGGAGGCCCTGTTCCCCCGGGCACCATCTGGGGTTACTAGATGGTGTAATGTTACACATGTACACCATGTGTAACTAGTTACAGAGCTTGCTGAAGCTGTTTGCAAGAGCACAGGTCATGAAGGAGCCTTCATAGTGCACAGGATGGGGCTGGCACCAGGTTGCTGCGTGCTCGTTCATTCATTCCCAGCTGCACTGGAGGGTTCAGACACTGGTTTAAGTACTTTTGTAGCTGCCCCAGCCTGCAACTGCAGAGCTTAGTATTTTGATCTGTACAACACACCCCGTTTCTTACCGTAGCAGCTGATCTACAGATCACTGAATCCATGGGGTTGGGTCTTGCCTTTGATTTCCAAGGGATTTAGAGAAGGCCCTAGAAGAGGAGAGGCCAGTAGTGATGGCCATGTAGAGGGGCCATGTAGTGATGATGCAGTGCCAAGGAGCTTAACAAGTAGGCCCTGTGCACAGGGGGCCAGGCAGGACCAAGTGGGGACCAGCTGGGTAATGCCCCCATATGGGGAATGGGAAAAAAGATTTTTCCTGGATGCTGAGGTCCCTGGAGTCCCGAGACTGGGATGGGAACACCACTCTCCTGTGAGCTGCAGTATGAAAGCACTATGCTATGGTAGGGTTGGTAGGAGCGCACAATCAAACCCACACCATCAAACCCAAATCCAGGCTGACGTTGCCTCTGGTGCTCGCTCTCTGGCTCTCACATGCTTTCTCGCTCTTACTCACTCTCCACACACTAGTGTTACCTGGCCTCCTGGCAGATGCCTCCTTTGACAAGAATATGCCCACATCTGGCTGTTGCTGCAGGCTGGCGTGCCTGCCTCTGAGATGTGAAGCACAGCCCCTGGGCCATTGGCTTTGGGCAGGAAGGCATTCCCACGTCCAGCAGTGAAAGAGAGCAGCAGGTCCTGTGGTGGTGAAGACAGATGTAAAACTTTATTAGTGGATGTTAAAACTCAGTTATTTACATGGTTTTGTAGCAGTGAAAATTAGAGGGTGCCATCCATTCCCCGCCATGCATGGTAGCCACATGGACGCAGAATAGTCTAGGTGAACACAGTGAAGACGGTGCAGTTAGTCACACAGCCTACATTAGCTCAGGCTATTTTTGGAGTGGTGGGTGAAGGAAAGCACAAGACAACCTTTCACCTCCGCTTTTGTCCTTCCACGTTCTCTGGCTGCAGCTTGCCCCACACTGCCTATGCCATGGGGCTGGGTGCACAAGGCACAACAGCTGCCTCTGAGCTGACTTGCAGCCTCAATCCACTCTCACCTGGGCACACTCAAGCCCTGCACAAAGCCAGCAGCCTGCCTAGCCTGGCCTGGCTTGACTGCCTTGGACTCACAGAGGACTGAGTGGGTTGTGGCGGGGAATGTAGCATTGCACCCAGCCCCTCTTAGCCTTGCTTCTCCACCCTGGCAGTGCCAGCTGAGCTGCTCCCCTTGGCTGTTCCAGCACAGGACAGTGCTTTGATACTTGTCCTACTGAAGTGCTTGAGAGCTGGGGACAGTAACCGCCTGCCCCTGCCACTGCTGCAGAGGCTCACTGCAGTCAGAGGGAGCGACAGAGTGAAAGCCTCCTCTCTCCTCCCGCCCCCTGCCAAGTCTTGCCTGGTCCCTCCCATCCTCTGCCAACGGCAAGGTGCTTGTTTGTGCCTCATTGTCCTCTCTGCCACCCATCAAAGGGAGCCCAGAAGCAGCAGCATTGAGCCTGCCAAGCCTTGTGCCTTGGCAGCAGCTGCCTCCTTGTTAGCAGAGGGGATTAAGACTCCTCTCTCTTTCAAAGCCCCCTGGTTGCTCCGCTGCTGCTCCCAGCCATCCTGTTTTCAGATGTCATTATCCGAACACGCTCCTAATCCGACCTCAGCGTGCGGATGTTTGTTCTTGCTGGAGCGCTGCCCGCAGCGCATGGGATAGTTACATTGCTGCATTTCCAGCACGTGCACAAGTGCGCAGGCACCCCCCCACATCATCTCAGAGGCTCACACTGGGACATACCTGCTCTTTATAGGGCGCTCATTGTACTTACTTAAGAGTTCCTTAAGGAAAATAAGAAAACCAGGTTGACCATATACAAGCCATTGCTGCTGTGCCCCTGCCAGGCTGGAAACAGGGCAGCTCAGGCCCCTGCCGCAAGAGCATGGGTTTTGTGAGTCACAGAGCAGCAGGACCAAAGCAGGGGGGTGGGTGCAAGGCAGGGTACAGCCAGGACCAGCGCAGCTGCACACGCCACTGCCATTAACTCACTGGCCAGTGTTTCTTATTCACAGCGGAGGCTGCTGCCAGGTGCACTGAAGTACTTCAGGCAGGCCCTGGGCAAGTGCTTTGCTGCTGCTTGTGCAGACAGAAACTGGCCATGACGAGGGCACTAACTGACCTTGTCTTTTGTGATGCAAGTAAAAGAGGAATCCACCTGCCTGAGAAGACCTGCGTGGGGCAGGAGCCACAGCCTGGTGCACGTATTAACTGTAACAGGGATGAGGCAGCACAGGCCCACCAACTCGGCAGGTCGGTGAAGCCTGGTTCCCAAACCCCAGGTAAAAAAATCCCGGGGGGGGCCTTGGCAGCTGATGCTGCTGTGGTAGTGCGCCTGGTGGTGTGCCTTTGAGCCAGGGTTAGCTGCAGTATTCTCACCACCTCCTAAACCCAACAGCTTGAGGAGGGCCCAGGCCTGCTCCCCAGGAGCCCTGTGACAGCTCCTGGCTTGTGGTATATGAAGACCTGAGTTTGAGCCTCCTTTTTGCCCTCTGTCTCTTTGCAGCAGAGCTGGGGACACAAGTTCAATCTCAACCCACCTGGGTGGCGAGGCCCTCTGAGTAACACAGAAGCAGGAGAAACAAGTGACTCTGGCCTCATGAGATGGGGTCAGATCCTGGCATAGGGCAAATGGAGACCCTGTCTGCTATAAAACAACCGGGAGGAGGAAATATGACCTGGAGTGTCTGCATCTCCCAAGCAGTAAACTAGCCCCCAGGGTACCATGGGGCAGGCCTGCTGCTAGCAGGAGCAGACGGATTTATTCAACGAGCAGGGAAACATCTACAGCAGTGGAGTGCTCTATGCTGCTCTTTTTCCCTAGCTACCTTCCGGCTCGCGTTTGGGCCACACATCAGGGGCACCATCATGCCGAGGTTCTCATGCCGAGAACCATCTCCAAAGGCTGCTGCAGAAGGCAGCAATGCCAAGCCAGGCCCTAAGGTGTGCTTAAGTGTTGCTGCTACCTGGAAAGATGCTCCTCACAGCTTGTGCCACTGAACACAAAAGGTGGGAAACTGTTTCAGTCTATTAATTTGCTGGCAGCACAATGCCTCTGACCCCTAAATGAGGACAAATTCAGGGTGCTTTTAACTTTTGGAGAAGAGGAAGCAGGAGGCGCCTGGGCTACAAGCTGAGCACCACAACCTTTTCACTGTCTCAGCTTGGGACAGCTGCAGAAAAAAAAATACTACAAGAGCTCTGAGGCCTGGTACAGCGTGGGGTGGGAAGCTTGGGGAGCAAACTATCTCCAAAAAAATAAACCTTTCATCTAGAAAAACATAGGGATTGTTCTGGGGTTAGAGCTGGACAGGGCTCAGGCATCGAACAGCATGCGTGGATCACTTGGGCATGAATGAGTAAGGGGCACTGGCAGGCTGGGTGAGGAACCCAGGACTGGGGCGCAGAGGGCAGGAGCAAGGCAATGAGTGCTCCTGTAGAAGGTCAGGACCTGTGTATGCCCCGCAGACGAACTGCTGCAGCACAGGGTCCTCCTGGTCCAGAGAGGAGAAATGAAGGAGTTGCACTTTACCTGGGTTCCTCACCCAGCTTGCCAGTGCCCCTCGCTCATGCCCAAATGATCTGCCCAACTGCAGGCAGCAGAGAAGCCAAAAGCAAATGGGGGAGAACAAGAAATGACTGGAAACAATATGCCCAGGCTGAAGCACTGACCACAGCTCTCAACCCTGGGTTGCAAACTCTGCAGCTCCTGGCCCAGCCTATCTTACTGTGCTAGACTCCCCTGCAGCAACGGTTTTCACTGGGTGCAAATAGGGTAATGGTACAAAATATGCCAGAGAGAGAAATTATGATAAAGAGAAGGGGGAAAAGCCAAGGGGAAGCAATGTGTTTAGGCTCAGATTTCACAAGCAGCCTCTCAAATCCCCTTGCACACTTTTGCACACTCATTTCTCAGAGGCAAGACTTTGTGTACCCAAACTTGCAGAGATTTTTTCCAAGTGTAGAGAGGCCCTTCTGAAAAGAGCAGCAACTGGGGGCTTCAGTTTGACCCTTAATAACACAGTGAGTTCCTCCAGGCAAACCTCTCTTGAGCTCCTCCCTGCCCCTGGAGAGGAGGGAACTTCAGGCAGTAGCTGCATAACAACATGACAATAAAGTCTCATTTCTTTTCCTAGGAGAATTTGAATTTTAAGTTTCTTGCTGAAAGACAATGAGCAACTTGTGCCAGCTCTAAACAAAAGGCAGCTGCTTTCATGAAAAAACAAAAAAAACAACTTCTCCAATCTGCTTTGTTGTACGAATTAGGGTGGGACCTGGTTCCGGCCAAGCCCAGAGAATGAAAGCATGAGTGCGCCCATGTGTTCACACAGAAAGGAAGGCTCTCCATGAGTACATTAATAATTCTAGCATTTGAGTGCACTCACAAAAGCCTGTGTGTGCACGTATACACACACAGCACATCTAAGTATAACTATATTGGAATGCATGTGTATGTAAGCAGGTGAAACTGTGTGTGCAGATGCACATACCTGTGAGTGCAAAGGTGTGTATGCCAGCCAGTCTACATGCCTACAAGGGCATGAGTTCATTGTGCATGTAGCGTTTCTGAGGGCGTGCAGTGCCACTTGCAGTGGTGGTGGGGGTGGGGGGGGGGGGGGGGGGGGGGGGGGGGTGAGACAAGTTGGTGTGAGCAAGTGTAAGACCGAGACTCTTTCTTGAGGAACATGGAAGTAGAGAGGTGTGTGCGCATTGGTGCACATATATTCAACAGGAGAGTGACTGAGAGTTTTTCAGCCTTTGCTGCAGGCAATTATGCATCTAAACACCACATTTGGTAGGAAGACCCGGCCTTCCCCCTCTGTCTGCTGTCCTGACCAAGTGGCGTCAAAGCCTGGCAGCTGACGAAGGCGAATTCTGTAGCAGGACAACCCCTCCCGGGGTTGGGAAAGGGGGTTGCTCATGTGTAGACTGGGAGAGGGGCTGCAGGAACGGACTTGCCCTGACCCCTGGGATACAGCCCACTCTTCCCATTGTCCCACCCTGATGCTGTGCCCCGTCCCTGCAACCCGGTGGGGGGGCGAGTTTGGGCCCCAGCCGTGCTCTGGCCCTGGACGAGGTGGCATGGCTGGTGGGAGTGGCTTCCCTCCTTCCTTTTGCTCTTTTTTGGCAGGAAATTTTTTAAACAAACAACTGAAGAAACACTGAGGATTTAAGTAAACACACGAAGATTTATCTGACAGGCCCGCTAAGGATCCTTGCCCTGCCCCCCACTTCCCACAGCCACTAGCCAGCACTTACTGGGGCAGTCTGGGGAGCCGCCTTGCACCGTTTGCAACCCAGCCACAAGAGCATTCGCTCCAAGTCCTGGCAGCGAGGCATCTGATGGTGACACGGGGCTCACGCCACAGCCAACGCCCCACCATGTGAAGGGCTTGGCATATCCTGGCACCCATTCAAACCTAACCATGCACAGGCAGCATAAGAGGTAAAACCAGGGGCCAAAATAATCTGAAGGGCTCTTTGGAAAGTGGGACACTGGGTCTCTCCTGGTCCGTGAGGAGCCGTGCGGGGTTGGGGGGGAGCATTTGGTTTTTTTACCAGTGGGAGGAACCGAGACGGCTAAATACCGGTAGCAGGAAAAACCGTCCCCGAAGCAGCTTTGCCCAGGCACGATGCACACGCTCAGAGCGTCTCCTGCACTCCAGGTGCCAGGCACCTAACTCAGCTCCACCAGGACACCTTGCTCCACCCTGGGCGCCTCCTGAGCCCCAGTCACCCTGTGTACCAAGGACAGGACGCGACAGTTGTGTTGGAACAAGCCTGTACCATCCAAGTAAGCTGAGGCCACCAAGCCCAAGCGCAAAGGAGCAGGTGAATTCAGTTCTTCCCAGTCCATCCCTCCACCCCGGCATGCAGCTCCCAGGCTCGCAGCCAGAGCAGGTTATACCAACAGGGCCCACTGCCCAGCTGAGTGCCCATGTCCGACCTGGAGTGTACAAGCGACAATGTCTGCCTAGCCGGTACACAGCACTCTGGCTTGGGAAACTACATTGCGTGGAAACATTTGCTTCAGTTTAAACCACTTCAATTGAAACCAAAATAAGCCTGGGTCAAAACCAAGCAAGCACATTCAGACAGAAGTTTGCGTGGATCTAACTAAATCAGTTTAAAAAACAACATTAAGTTACGCTGCTGAGACTTTTTCATACAGACAAGACCCTGGTTATTGCCCGAGGGGTAAAGTTGGAGGCGCTTCAGTGTTGAAAGTTGGAGAGAGAGAGAGATGGACAGACAGCAGCAGAGAGAGACAGAGATCAACAGAGAGGCTGTGCAAGACAAACATGCTGGGCAGGCCAAGTGACCAAGAGACAGACAGGCTGTCTGGCAAAGTGACAGATGCAAGAAAAAAAACAAAAAACAGGGCAGCAAATCTGATCAGAAGACGCAATCCTAGAAAAAAGCAGGAATTTTCTTGAAAACAGTAAAGAAAAAAAATTGTCTCTTTCCCCGCACTAAGCCAAACACATGCTCCCAGAGCTGGCATTAGATCAGATCCTTTACTATTTGCTGAGATATGGATGGATGGCATATCCTTGAAGGGTTAAATCCTACAGCAGACATAGAAAAAAAAGAGGGCCAGAGAGCCCGTGGCTACTGGGGGGCTCTCTCCAAGATGCTCCATATTGTGACTACCCACAAAGCCGCCTTGCAAAGCATTTGGGGAAATTTCTCGTCTGAAAGACACTCTACAAAAATAAATTGTAATTGAGTTTAATAATCTTCCCCTTTCCAGAAAGGGCCTGACAGATGCTGCCTGGTGCTCACTTCTGCCCCATTTCAAATATTTTTACCTTATTTGGATGAAATATATTATTTTTCTAATGAAAGGAGGTTTTCTTTTTTTTTTTTTTTTCCCTCCAAAGGGCTGCTTTCCCTCCGTCCAGCTGGTGCCTTTATTAGGTTAGCATTTGCTCCCTTTTGGGGATGGGAGTTTTTTTTCCCTGAGCCGAGGGAGCCCATGCCAGCCCCTCCATCCACAAAGCGCGCACACAGCTCAGCTCCCACCGCACCCCTCAGCAAACTGGACCGTCTGCCTTAACCCAGGTCTCTCCTCCCCACAGTTCATCCTGGGTGCATTTAACATCTTGCCACAGCCCAGGTAAGAGCCAGGGCTAGGCTCCCGTGGCTACTGATGCAGGTAGCCCGACACGTGTATGCTGGGCAAACGCCTGGGGAGGCAGTGTGGTCTAGCAAGCAGGGCACCAACCTGAGCGTGCGGGGAGCCTGGTTCTGGTCCCAGCTCTGTGTTAGGACTGCAGGCAAGTAATTTCCCTTCCCTGTGCCTGTTTCCTCACCCAACTTTGCTCTGCCTTCCCCGTTCAGACTGTCAGCTCCTCAGGCAGGAGCCACCCTGCTCGGTGCTCACACGGCACCCAGCACTAGGAAGGGGGTCTTACATCTCAAGACAGGGCCCAGCCATGATTGACACCAACGTTGGGTGCGCGAGTCAGGACCAGCTCCAGGCTGAGAGGGTGCAAAGCAAAGCCCCACGATGGGGGGTCTCCCACCTGCCAGCAGCACAGACAATATCGAGGGTGGATCCACAGGCTGCCGGCACCCGAGGGAGCAGGATTCAGGGCCTTATTCAGCCGTACCCTCAGGTCTGCACAGCTGTGCCAGCACTGCTGCAAAACCACTGCTCCCAAGCCCCTGCAGCCTTTTACTGACGGCACAGAGTAATAACAGGCTGAGCTCAATGTCTGGGCTGGATGCTGGCATCTCCCACACCTCGACCAGACTCCTTGGGCACAGGACCCCAGGAGGCACAGGTTACTCACCTGCATGGGGCTCATTCCCAGCTCCAGGCGGTCCTCCTGGCTGTATGGCCACGGCTCCCTGAAGGTATCCCAGAATGTGGTGCTCTGCCATCACACATCAGAGCTGGCCGCACCGGGGCCCGCAGCCCTCACGTTGTCACCGCCTGGTCTCCACAGGGCTCGGGGAAGGGCTGTAGGTGGGGGAGGAGGGGGCACTGGGTGAGCAGGGAGGGGAAACGCAGTGGGACTTCCAGGCACTTAATCCTTGGGTAGGCAGGAGAGGCAGCAAGTGGCAGCAGGTCCAGGATGGCGGACTGCAAGCTCTGCCGTACTTAATTGCTCCAGGTGCAGAAAGGCACGGTGGGGAAAAAATGGTCCTCCCAGAGAGGAGCTGTGCACTTGGGTGGGTGAGGAGCCGAGCAGCCCCCTCCTGCACCTTTACTCTGGCGTGCTGCACGGAGCTGCACGGCCTGGGTGCAAATCTGGGCCTGATTCCCAAGTTTGCCTTCATCCGGCTGTTTATTTTAAGCCTCACCAGACCCCCTGGGTGTTGGTTGGTACAGTGCAGAGAGGTCAAGTGAGTCAGCCAAGGTCTAGCCAGGCAGGATGAGGCCCCACAGAGCCCATCCCTGTGTCCCTATCCCAAATGTCCTGGACTGTGCTCTAGAAAGGTGCACAATGGAAAATGCTGATTGTTCCCAAGAACGTGGGAATTTATCCTTCTCCAGCAGTCCCTGGGGAAAGAGGGGCCACAATCAGGCCACAATTGTGACCCACCCCTGGCAAAGTGGCTCGCATTTAGCTTTTAGCCTGGCCCTGTATTCTGAGGGCACAGAGCCAGGCTCACTTGCCAGCCACGGCTGGGTCAAACGAAGATGATTTGGAGATGTCCCTCTCCATATGCCTCCCACCTTGGCCTGTATCCAGAGGTGCCCTGGCATCAAAACTGCTGCTCATGGACACTGGATTATGAGCTCTTATGTCTTCATGTAGCCTGACAGCAGCAGGCTGTCTCCATCTGCTCTGGCGTGGTCCATGGTGTTTCAGGGGGAGGAAGGCCTAAAGCAGTGAATCTCTCCTGCCAGCTTCATCTCCTTCTTCCCAACGTTCGCTCTCCACCTGGCTCCCTCCTTCGTGTCCCCTCCTGCCTTTGCAGTTTTTTTCTTTGCTCTCCCTTAAGGTTGGAACAATCAATGTATTCACCTAATACAAACCTCCCTCCTAAGGCCACCAGGGAACCTGCTACTTACCATCTTCATCTACCACTCAACTCCTTCAGCTCCACAGTGGGTCTCCTGAGGTGCAAGGGACCCATCAGTCTTTTGGCACAACTCTCAGCCTCCTGTATAATGGCAAAAATGCCCATAAACAGCCACGTATGCCACGGTCTGATTAATCAATCACACACTAACAGAGGAACAAAGGGTCCTGCTACCTCAGAAGGCACCCGGCATCCAGGGGATGGCTTTACTGCACAGTAGTCTGGTAGAATAGGGGGCTCTTGATGTAGTAACTCCACCCTGATAGACAGACAGAGAAGGGTGTCATCTCCCTTGCCCTGCAGGGAAAAGGATCCCTGCTCACCAATCTTTCAGCTAGTGCGATGGTGTTCCCAGCACATACTGGCCACTGCCCCAGAGCTACTGATTTAAGGAGCTAGGTTCCACCTGGGATGGGGGGCAGAAAGGAGGGAAGAATTATGAATTAAAGGACAAGCTCAGCTCAGGACTAAAATACTGATCCCTGCAGCAGCGGCTACAGAATCCCAAGCCAAGGCAATGAGGAAAAGCCCGTTTCCATCACTGTCCCTTTGCCCTTGGTCTGGTCATCAATATTTTCGTTATGAGATTGTTGTGGAAAGCAAAGACAAGATGGGAAACGCACAGGAACTAGGCCCCCAGGACTCTCGGAAATACCTGCTGGTAATTAGGCCCAGCTTTCTCAGAACTCCCTGCTGGTGTGCTGGGTCCTCTCAGCCAGCACCTGTAAGTGAATAAACACAATATCAGCAGCACAATCTCAGGGTTACTTTTTCTGAGCAAGCCAGAGTTTTGATCTGGCCTGCAGGGTTAGGGGACAGGGAAACCGTGACTTCCCCGAGCAGGAAAGGTTGCAAGAGCAGGAAGATTTGGAAGAGAAGGAAAATCACACTTTATTGCTACCCCAGAAAGCAAAGGAAGGTCTGAAAAACTCAAAGCAAAACACGCCTTGTTAATGAACTAGCTATCCATTGGGAGCACAGAGGGAAGGAAAAAAACCTCAGGGCTGCCTGTGCTGTAAACCTCGTAAGTCACTCCACAAGGCGCATACCTCAGCAACATATTTTCCACATTTCACTGACTGCTGTTGTCCAAGCACTTTCTATTTTCAAAACCTTCTATGTATATAAAATGTACACAGGCAGGACAATACTTTTGTTACCTCCCTGTGTTCACCCCGCATTTCCATTTCATGAGGATTCTTGGCTTGAGGAAGACAAAAAGTGCCATCATCTAAGGAAAGCCTCTGCTTTTAAACACGCTCAAATTTGCCCTGTTTTAGCTAAATGCAACATTCTCAGTGAATGCTAAGGGGGAGAGAGAGAGGGGGAGAGAGAGAGGGAGAGAGAGACTCCTGGGGAAGATATTCGTCCATTTAAGGAATGAGAAATCATCACATTCAACAGCAGGTCTAAATACAGTAATATGAAGGTCCCTTCCTCTCCCCCTGAGTAGGCAAATGTCACTGTGTACCAGACACCCAAATACTCAGGAATCAAGTAAATCCCTCATTTTTTAGAAGGAAGCCAAACATTTCTGTCAAGTGAAGATGGGACTGCAGGAGCCGAGCTGCTATACGCTGCTCCCTGCACCACCGCCTGCTCGGAGATGGTGGGGTTCAAATAGTCGTGAGCTACCACGTACCATCTCCCTTAGTGCCTCCTTCTGGAAGACAGTGAGACTGAAGAGCTGCACGTTACCCTGAAGATGAGGCATCTGCTCCATACCGTGCATACCCCACGGCCTGGGGTAGCATCAAGTTATAGCACCGTCAGAGCTACTTACATTGCTCACTGCAATCAATAGCTCCTGGGGGGAGACAAGGGGTCCGTGGGTAGCTTCAGTTGCCAAGATCCTCCATGGTGCTCTGCACTGCCCCTTGCTGGGAGAACCTGGGACAAGAGCAGCTGACTATAAAACTAACAAACATTTCCCAATAAACTTTGGGGAACGTTTGCCTAAGAGCTCCATTTCCAGAGCCCACATTCTCTTTTGCCCACCCCCTCCCCACCCCCCTCCCCAAAAAGTCAGCCACAGCAGCCCAGTGTTAAATAGTGGTAACTCATATTTATTACAATTATATACAATCGTATTTTATATTTGAAATCTATACATGATCACACAGACGAGCACGTTTGCTTGGTGAGGACAGTGAGACTCAGATGTTACAGGAATTGCTCTGCTAAGAGGCTCTTATGCAGTGAATAAGAATCAGACACCACCATTTTACCAGCTGCAAACACAATGCTGCAAACAGGAGAATTCAAAACTCGTCGTTTTGTTTTTGTGTTTAGCCCTCCTGGGGCAAAGAGGGCCGGGCCGGGCAGGGAGGGGAGTGGCGCACCTCTGCGTTGGAACCATTCTCCATACTGCAAACAGCATCTTGCCGAGGCGGATCCCTGTGCCGCGTTGGACATGGGCCTTGACTGACCATTTAGATGAGCTAAGAACCACTGCAGAGACTCGGGACTAACTGACTACTCCAGCAGCCAAATTGCCTGATTCATTCAGGCCAGGCTATTAATGGAATGGAAGACGTCAGAAACGGGTGCGAGCTACACTTCCCTGCACAGTAAATGAGGGTGGATGGGAAATCAGGTGTGAATCATGTCGGCAGGGGAAGTACTCTTTCACCAGAGGGAAGTCAAGGGCACCCGGCCTTGTGACCATTTCTATGAGCCTGATCCCTAACAAGAGGCACCAGGTTGAGTGTAGGGAGTTGTGTCCTTTGGGCTTTGCCAGAACTTCAGTGTTTCTCAAAGGCTGAACGGCTTCAGGAGTTGGGTCTCACACAAAGTCTGGGTGGCAGGTGCCTGGCCTGGGAGCAAGATTTGATGGGGTATTTAGGGATTAAACAGCCTGGTCTGAGGAGTAAAATCTGGTGGGACGTTTCAGGGAATGGGGAGAACTGCTCTGGGACCAAGATGTGGTTGGGAACAAGAAGGGGCTTGGACAGGCTGGTTTCTGAGCGTGGATGGAAGGGCTCTGGGATGCAGTGAAGGGTTGGACTGGTTCACGAATGATGCTGAATGCATTTGCAAGTGGACTTTTTTCTCTAGCCATGGAGTCTCTGGCCATGGTAAGGTGTTCTCCCAATCTGGGCAGTGACCCCAGCTCAGATTCCTGGGGCAGGAGGTGGTGTGGGGAAAGGGAAAGAAAGCCACCAGGATGCTGCATGGCCCTGGAGTGACACAGGACCCACCTTGCTCACTGGACAATCATGACGCTACTCGAGGTGAATCATGGGAGAATCACTGGGGCAGGGAAGCTTTCTCCACTGAACAGGAGAGGCAATTCAGAAGAGGAAGGGAGGCTTGGGGAGATGCAGGGCAGAAGGAGAAGCAGCCCAGTTGCCCTAGTCGATCTCGTTTTCATTGCTGGCCCCTTCAGGTCTCCGTAGCTTTTCTACCTGCTCGTTAATCTGCCCGTCACCTCCTCGCCGGTCCTCAGTCTGGACCCCGAGGCACTCCTCTTCATCCACGTGGCTGACGTCATCGTCCTCATCGTCCTCCTCTTCCTCCTCCTCGTTCCCCTTGTCCTCCCGCTTCTCCTCCTCGCCTTGTACCTCCATCCGCACCTGGCCCTTGACATCAATAACCGCTTTGCCACCTTCCTCCGTGGTCAGGAGGTGGCAGTTGACCTTTGCCCCCTCTGGGCTATGGTTCTCCTTCACGGGTGATGAGGAGGTGGACTCGTTGCTGACGGGAGAGATATCACTGCTGCTGTTGTGGTTGGTGGCAACAGGGTTGGAGGGCGAGGAAGGCTTCACTGGAATTTGCCACGATGGGATCTTGGGGGCCGATGGGGAGGGAGGGAACTGCCTCCTTGAGGTGGAGGGAAAGCAAAGAAAGGGGCTTGTATTACTAGGACAGCACGCCTATCATTACAGAGAAGGGATCAGCCATCAAGGCGAGCAGCATGCTCAAGGAATCGTGCAGAACAGGGCTCCAAGTCCCTACTGTAATCAGTGAGCCACAACACAGCCCGTTGCCTTCTCTAGCCATGATCCCAAACTGTTTCACATGCACCCACTCATTAAGTCTGTGCACATCTGCACTCACTGATGAGCAAACTGAAGTGGGAAAAAATGGGCCCTGGCCATTTTCACAGTGCAAGCTGAGACTCAGAACTCATCCATCCCAGCTCTACCCCCTTGGAAGCACTGCCTTGGGAAACAAGGGGGAGTGCATTGCTCTGCTGTACCACTGTCGCAGATTAACTAGTCCAGAAAGGTCCCATTGCAGGGAGAAGCTATGGGCATCAGTACCCTGGCTCTGAGCCAAGCTGTACTCTACCCACCTGGTTGCCCTGTGAGATATATCCACTGCTCCATGGTCTTCTGGTCACAGTGTGCACTACTCATCTGGGCCTGAACCTCAGTTGGTGTAAATCAGTTTTGTCCCACAGATTTCCAAGGAGTTACCCCAATTAACTCCAGCTGATAACCTGGCCTGTCTGTCCTACGCAGCAGCAGCACAGGTAACCAAAATGGGAAGCAGGGCAAATGGTAGTGCGATGAGGAATGAGCTTCCCCTGCTGCCTTCAAAAGACTGCTCTCATCCAGAGAACAACATATGCAGGGCCTGATCCTACACTCCCCCAGCCAGCACAGCCCTGGCTGACATCAGTGGGAAGTGGGCACATATAGTGATATTAGATTGGGCCCTTAGAGAAGAAGCATAAGAGTTGGGAGGGAAGTTCACACACCTGATGCAGGGAACACAGCTCCAGAGGAGAGCTGGGGCAAGGGGAAGCTGCCTGCCTCCTTGCAGGGGATGCCATCTGGTGCAACAGATTCAACCTAGGCAGAACTAAAACCCACTGCACTCCCCTCCATCCCCACCACTGCCACCCCAGCTGTGGAGAAGCCCAGCTACACCAGCCTCCATCTTCTCCGAGTGCATACAGACTCATGCCTGCATTATTCCCTGGTGTCACAAATGCTATCAAGAAATTTAATTTGGAAGGTTTCTTGGCTCCAGCGTTACCACCACCTGCTCACTGCAGGGAGATTTGCCCTTTTTGTTTAATTTTTATTTCCAAAAGCACTTAGCCCCTGGCTGCAGAACAGAGAATTTCCCTCCAT